GGGGGAAATGGGACCGGGGTTAGCGGGAATGGAGGGGGATTGGGGGATTGGGATTGGGGATTTGGGGATTGGGATTGGGGGATTTGGGATTTGGGATTGGGATTGGGGGGTCCTCGAAATCCTACGGGGGAAAAGGGATCGGGGTTAGCGGGAATGGCGGGGATTGGGGGATTGGGATTGGGGATTTGGGATTTGGGATTTGGGGATTGGGATTGGGGGATTTGGGATTTGGGGTTTGGGAATTGGGGATTTGGGATTTGGGGACTGGGGAATTTGGGGAGTTGGGAATTCGGGATCCTCCTCTTTTCCCAGGTTTTCCCCCCAATTTCCCCCCGGATTTCCCCATTTTTCCCAAATATCCCCTCACTTTTCCCAAATATCCCCTCATTTTCCCAGATTCCCCCCACTTTTCCCGGATTTTTTCCCCGTTTTTCCCGGATTTTTCCCATTTTTCCCCATTTTCCCCCGTTTTTCCGGGTTTTTCCCGGATCTCTCTCCTGTTTTTCCCAGATTTTCCCCATTTTTCCCAGATTCCCCCCGTTTTTCCCCATTTTTCCCGGATCTCTGTTCCCATTTTTCCCCATTTTCCCCCGTTTTTCCCAGATTCCCCCCGTTTTTCCCCCGTTTTTCCCCGTTTTTCCCGGATTTTTCCCATTTTTCCCCAGATTCCCCCCGTTTTTCCCCCATTTTTCCTGGATTTCCCCCGTTTTTCCCAGATTTTTTCCCCGTTTTTCCCGTTTTTCCCCGTTTTTCCCCGTTTTTCCCGGATTTTTCCCAGATTTTTTCCCCGATTTTCCCCGTTTTTCCCGGATTTTTCCCATTTTTCCCCAGATTTCCCCCGTTTTCCCGGCTCCTCACCGCGAAGCAGCCGATGACGTCGCTCTCTCCGAAGCTTTCCCCGAATTCCTGGAATTTCCCGTTCTCCACCTTCAGCCCCCGCCCGTCGAAGCCGTAGGACGCTCTCTCCGAAGCTTTCCCCGAATTCCTGGAATTTCCCGTTCTCCACCTTCAGCCCCCGCCCGTCGAAGCCGTAGGAAAACTCATCCTCGCCTGCAGAGGGAAAATTTGGGAATTCCGGGAAGTTTTTGGGGAGAAAAAGGGAATTTTCGGGGAGAAAATCGGAATTTAAGCAAAAAAATGGGAATTTTTTTTGAGAAAATGCAAATTTTTGGGGAGAAAATCGGAATTTAAGCAGAAAAATGGGGATTTTTGGGAGAAAAATGGGAATTTTTTGGGGGAAAAGGGGGATTTTGGGAGGGAAAATGGGAATTTTGGGAATTTTTTTGGGGAAAATGGGAATTTTGGGGAGAAAAATGGGAATTCTGGGAATTTTTTTGGGGAAAATGGGAATTTTGGGATTTTGGTGCCGGGTTTTGGGATTTTGGGCTGAAATTTGGGGATTTTGGGCTGAGATTTTGGGATTTTGGGATCAGGAATGGATTTTGGGGCTGAATTTTGGGATTTTGGTGCCGGATTTTGGGATTTTGGGATGGAATTTGGGGATTCTGGGCTGAAATTTGGGGATTTTGGGCTGAGATTTTGGGATCGGGAATGGATTTTGGAGCTGAATTTTGGGATTTTGGGCTGAAACTTTGGGATTTTGGGCTGAGATTTTGGGATTTTGGGCCGAAATTTGGGGATTTTGGGCTGAGATTTTGAGATTTTGGCCTGAGATTTGGGGATTTTGGGCTGAGATTTTGGGATTCTGGGATCAGGAATGGATTTTGGGGCTGAATTTGGGGATTTTGGTGCCGGATTTTGAGATTTTGGGGTGAAATCTCTGGATTTTGGGCTGAATTTGGGGATTTTGGGCTGAGATTTGGAGATTTTGGGCTGAGATTTTGGGATTTTGGGATCAAGAATGGATTTTGGGGCTGAATTTTGGGATTTTAGGCCGAAATTTGGGGATTTTGGGCTGAAATTTGGGGATTTTGGGCTGAGATTTTGGGATCAGGAATGGATTTTGGGCTGAATTTGGGGATTTGGGTGCCGGATTTTGAGATTTTGGGCTGAAATTTGGGGATTTTGGGCTGAAATTTGGGGATTTTGGGCTGAGATTTTGACATTTTGGGCTGAAATTTGGGGATTTTGGGCTGAGATTCCGGGATTCTGGGCTGAAATTTCGGGATTTTGGGCTCAAATTTGGGGATTTTGGGCTGAGATTTTGGGATCAGGAATGGATTTTGGAGCTGAATTTTGGGATTTTGGGCTGAAACTTTGGGATTTTGGGCTGAGATTTTGGGATTTTGGGCCGAAATTTGGGGATTTTGGGATCAGGAATGGATTTTGGGGCTGAATTTTGGGATTTTGGTGCCGGATTTTGGGATTTTGGGGTGAAATTTGGGGATTTTGGGCTGAGATTTTGGGATTTTGGGCTCAAATCTCGGGATTTTGGGCTGAGATTTTGGGATTTTGGGCCGAAATTTGGGGATTTTGGGCCGAAATTTGGGATTTTGGGCTGAGATTTTGAGATTTTGGCCTGAGATTTGGGGATTTTGGGCTGAGATTTTGGGATTCTGGGCTGAAATTTCGGGATTTTGTGCTGAAATTTGGGGATTTTGGGCTGAAATTTCGGGATTTTGGGCTCAAATTTGGGGATTTTGGGGCTGAATTTTTGGATTTTGGGCTGAATTTGGGGATTTGGGTGCCGGATTTTGAGATTTTGGGCTGAAATTTGGGGATTTTGGGGCTGAAATTTGGGGATTTTGGGCCGAAATTTTGGGATTTTGGGCTGAGATTTTGGGCCGAAATTTTGGGATTTTGGGCTGAGATTTTGGGATTTTGGGCCGAAATTTGGGGATTTTGGGCTGAAACTTCGGGATTTTGGGGCAGGATTTTGTGAAT